ATTATAGTATTTAAAATATTATTCAAAAATCAATATAAGTTAATCAATTATTTTATATTCTTTAATCAATATCTAACTATCTTTATGCTAATTATTTATCTATAATTTATCTAACTATTGTCTTAATATTTAAAACATTATCCAAAAATAACAAAGAGTTAATAGTTTTATACTCTTCAATTAATATTTGTTATTATGCCAATTATTCACCTAAATATAAATTATATAAATAATAGATATTCAGCATCATTTGTATTCGAATAATGCTATTTGACAAGTTGAATTTTCAGTGCTCAAGTCATTATAGGTCAAATTTTTTAATTCAAGTTATATAATAATTGTCAAATTGTAGCATTTAATAAGTCAAATTTTTTAATTTTGAGCTATTATTATTATTATTGTTATCAAATTATAGCTAAATGTTTTAATTGAGTTATATAATAGTTGTTAAATTATGCATTAAAATATGTTGAATTTTTTGACAATTTGTATTAATTATCAAATTGTGGCATTAATAATAATTATCCAAATTCAACAGTTAAATTTTAACAAAATTAGTTAAAATTTAATATAAATTTGATTATCAAATTTTAATATAATAAAATTAGTTAATAAAATTTAATTTATATTAATTCAACTTATAAAATTAGATTGATCTAATTATCAAAATTTTGTCTACATTAGTAGATTAAAAACAGGTTCTATATATATAATTATGTAATGATTATAAAGAACTTTCATGATTAGATTAGTAGATTGAATTTGCTGCAGTATATTTAAAAAAAAGAAAATAATAGATATTAGAATATTAGTAAAATAAAATAACTACTAATTAAAGAAATAATTATTTTAAATTGTTTATAATGCATAATTATGTGATGATTATGAAGGTTCTTTATAATTGAATTATTAAATTTGAATTTGCCATAGTATATTTAAAGAAAAAAATTAATTACTAATTAGAAATTAGTTTATTAATATTAATACAGACCAAATAATATTTAATATAAGCCAGATTATATACTAATGCAGACCAAATAATTTTATTAAAAATTCTGTATATGACTAACTAAAATAAAATCATTATCTAAAAAAGTTTTAAAAGTTATATAATATTGTTAATTTCAGACTAACTTACTAAATTCTAAAAAATTTAGCAAAAATTAATTAGCTAAATATTTGCTAATTTGTTAAGTTCTGATGAACTTAACAAATCAGCAAATATTCAGCTAGTTAATTTATACTGAATTTTTCAGAATTTATAAAAACAGCTGTAACATCCCTAGATATTGCCCAGCCTATCAACATATAATCTAAAAATTCGATATTTTAAAATTGACATAACGTTTTATGTAAACAATTAATTACTATATACATTATCATTATATAGTTACATTTTTAATAATATAGTCGATTTGTGATATATTAAATTCTAAGTATATAACATATAAAAAAAAATTATTCAGAATAATCTATGAATTTGAATGGCTGCTAATAGCTCACTTATAATTTCATTTTTAAATCATTATGACATTATACATTTCTATAGTAACAGTAATAACAATAGCCAAAATTTAATTTTATAGTAAGAATCATATTTATGTTATACTTTTCTATAGTAACAAAAATGATGCTAGTTAAAATTAAACTCATAATAAGATTTATACTTATGAGTCTATATTATTTGATTACTAATTCTTAAATCTATTTTTTTTTAATGTATTTATAAAGCAATTAAGTGAGTATACAGTAAAACCATTTTTCCTACTAATTATGAACAAACTAAAAAAATTTGCTTGTAAATTGTACTTCAACGATAATGATTTAATTCCTGTGGAATGTAGAGATCCTAATATTTGCAAAATATGTAGCTATGAAATTTTTTCTAATCTTTTGCAATTAGTAATTTTACTTGACTGCAGGCACTTCTTTCATTGAAAGTGTATTATGAAATATAATTGTTGTCCTTGCAAATATAAAGATTATGAAACACCAAATTAATATATTGAAATGTCAACTCTACATTGTTTTAAAAAAATATTAAACATACTATCTTTTTAAATACAAGCTAATAAACTACAAGCACAAGTGATGAACTACAAGCACAAGCTGATGAATGACAAGCACAAGCTGATGAACAAATGCAATTTGATGAACAGGTGCAATTCAATAAACTATAAGCACAAAATAATAATGAACAAAAGCAAATTAATAAACAAGCACAAGTTAATGAACTACAAATGCAAGTGTGTAGGCAAGCACAAAGTGGGCAAATACAAAGTGGGCAAGCACAAAGCAGGCAAGCACAAAGCAGGCAAGCACAAAGCAGGCAAGCACAAAGCAGGCAAGCACAAAGTGGGCAAGCACAAGATTGGCAAGCACAAAGTAGGCAAGTGCATAGTGGGCAAGCACAAAGCAGGCAAGCACAAAATGGGCAAGTACAAGGTGGGCAAGGGCATAGTAGGCAAGCACAAAGCAGTCAAACACAAGATGGGCAAGTGAATAGTAGGCAAGAACAAGGTGGGCAAGTGAATAGTGGACAAGCACAAGTTGGGCAAGCACATGATGGGCAAGCACAAGTTAATAAACAAACTAATGAACAGATTAGCATTATTAAAATTTATTATACAGTGTAATATAATATTCATATTATGAAATGTATATTGAAAATTAATTTTGATTTAGGAAAATGAGTCTGCAAATAATGTATTGAAACCTCCATTGACATTATCAAAAAGGCCATGTAGGTCAAAAGTACCAAAAAAAATAACAGAAGTTGTCAAGATTCTAATTACTTCTAATGGAACAGAAGATAGCTCAGTTGAAGCCTATGAACCAACATGTTAAATTTTAGTTGATTTATTTAATATTGCAAAACAAGCTAAAAAGTAATCAAGAAAGTCTAATTTAATAAAAATTAGAAAATGGTATGATTATGCTGAAGCTTTCGAGAATTGAGTAAGAAAATTAATAAATAAGATGTAAATGATAGAGCAGCTTATACACAAATATACAACACAATGTTATCTTATATGAGTCGTTAAATGACAATAGGCAATCTTTGTCAGATAATGCATAAGGCATAAAATATATTTAATATTTTAGTAAAGTTGGCATTGGAGCAATTGACCAAGCTGGATGTTTTATAACAAATCATCTTTCAAAATACAGCAATAATGATATTAAAAGAATTGTTAAATATGTAAAGTGCAGAAGAATTAGTTAAATCATATAATCAACATTAATATGTATTTCATATAATTGCAATTAAATAAATTGAATTAAATTGGCATAACAAATAATTAGTAATAAATTAAAGTAATAGATTAAAGTAATAGATAATAAGTAATAATAATATCCTGGCTTATCAGAGATTAGTAGGTTTTTTCCTAGATTGCGTTATAGCTATTATCATAAATTCTGGGACATCTGCTCATTACCTAAAATCT